CTTTAGGCAGCATTGAGTTTTGTCAGATCAACTCATTAAGGGGGCTGGAGTATCCTAGGGATAAAGCCTTGAGCTGTTCAAAGGCGTGTTAGTGGTCAGTGTTGAGGTATAGTCAGGAAGCTCTCAGAGGAGCCTGGCTAGGATTTGGCCAAAGAGGGGATCTTTGTCACAACCAGTTGGCAGTAAGCAGTGGTTTGATGGGCCGAATCCCTACAAGTAAGGCCCCTTGGACACTGGCCTCACCCCTCTTCCACTGAGGAGGTATCACACACATACACAGTCACACACATACTTATAAACCTATGCTCACAATCTTGCATGCTCACATTTGCACACACAATCTCATGTACTCACACACACTCACACATGCACGCCTTGTCCCTACATGGTGTGCCTCAGTTCCCAGGCCAAATTTCTTGGTTTATGGATCACAGCCTATTCACTGCACAGCCCTGCTGCTGGATTAGAGAGAGGCTGGCATCTCCAAGTAGGATTCCTCCCCGTCCCATTGCAGGGGCCTGGGAGGGTCGGGGTGAAGATCCGGAATCTTCCTCCACCAGAGAAATCAGAGAAATCCATTCATGGGGACAGGAAAGTTGCAGGCAGGAAGAATAGACATTTCAGCTAGCAGGAGAATCAGGCCCCGTGGGCAGCTTAGCTTGATGTTCCCCGAGTCTGGTCACTCAGTGGGTCCTCATTCCTTTACCTCTTTCTCCACTAAGCCCAATCTCTGCCCAAGACTTCAGGCCAGCAGGTTTTAAAACCAGGATGCGGCTGTTCTTCACAGCTGTTTCTGCTCTGCTATGAGAACCCTCTCCATGACAGGGGTCTTTTCCAAATTCCCACACAAAATCTTTACGCAGAAAACAAGAAATTGAACACTTCATAGGGCAACTAATCATCTTTTGGTTTACATGTTACCTGTTGAGCATAGTCAGCTCCCATCATAACCAATCATAATCCCCTCCTCTGCTCACCTGCCCTGGTTTTCACTGCGATTGTGTTTGTTCCTTTCTTTGGGAGTCCTGAGCATGGAGCACGACCTTGGCATTGGCCTAGTATGTGAGCAGTAAAACCTCCACCCATGTAGACCCTTCCCGAGGCTCTGCAAAATGTCAGAGTAAGCATTCGGATCGAATAGGGTAAACATCTAGAGCCCCTGTCATATTCCTGACTCATAAGAGAATCCAATGCATTGTAACTCAGAATTCCCGACTTTAACTTTTTGATCGTATGGTGTCAGTAACGTAGTAAGGCTCAAAAATCAGTGTTTGTTCAGGAAGATTGTTCATCTCCTGGGGTGCCTGCCTTCAGAACCCTGCTACATTTGTGTCCTCTTTCCTGCGGTGTTTTGTGCTCACCATGGACCCTGGGAAGGAGGTGATGTGGGCTTTGACTTGCAGATCCAGGGATGTGCACACCAGGCACCAGATGGAGCTCTAGAGGCAGCACGGCCGTTTTCTGGGCCATCCACCTACTGTTGGTTTTGTCCCCTCATCTGGTTTGTACCAACTCTTTGGCTGATCCTTTTTGACCTATCCCATGCCTGTAACTCGGCATCGTTGACAGCCAGGAGGCTTCACCCAGTCTCCTTAGTGAGCCGAGAGGGAGACAGGCGAATCACGTTTGCAGCTGGGAAAGGGAAGGAGGCACGGTCTTCTCTCTGAGCATGCCCAGCAGCTTGGGCTGCCGTGTAATTAAGAGGGGAGTGGGTCAGGACAGAGTATACTCTGTCAGTCATTTGCTGAGCCGAAGAAATGGGTCCTGAAGCGTCCTCCGTGTTTGCCCCCGTGTTGAGTTCCTGATCTCTGGTGGCATCACTCCTTTGGGAGACAACAGGAACTGGGCCCAGGGTGGAAGTTGAAGTGCAACAAGGGCAGGAGAGGGGGAGTTCTTTGTTTCTCTCCTTCAAGCTTGAACAACTTGGCATCCTTCTGGGAGGTCAGGACTGTTCTGAGCATGCTCTGATTCGAGAACAACTTGACTGGAAATCTGTCAGTGCTTCTGCCGCTGCATCAATTTCTAGTCTCATTCACTTTCAGGTCATGACAGTGACTTTTAAAAAAAAAAAAATCTGAGAAACCTGAATGCCATTGCTTAGGCATAAACAGCTTTTAGAACCATACCTTTTTCTCTTTAACAGCTGCATGTACAGCCAAAGATGTTGTAATGAAAACACACTGCACAGTTGATCTTCAGTGTTCTGGTCATCCGTTTTCAGGGCTGCTCCGTGGTCCTGAATACAGAGCATCTGTTAGCACAGAGCCGGAATTTAAATGCTTCTGGAAAACAAAACCAATCAAAAGCAGTGGCCTTGTACATCAGATGTAGTTTATAATTGTGATCAGAAGACTATCCTATAAAAGCAAGGAACACATAAATCCTTAGAATGAGAGTAATTTCTACTGATAAATAAGTCCTGGTGATTTTTCATTGTCTCCTGCTCAGTTTCTACAAGTGAGCAGAGCTCAGGGGAAAGGTTTCTGGATCTATATCTTGTAGTGCAGTTGTTTATCAAACACCATTACAATTGTTAGCCAAGTAGAAGGCGGTTGAGCTGAACATGCTTCAAAACAGAGAAATTTAGAAATAAATTGAGTTTTTATGGTTCACTTATTTGCATTGCCATTTAAAATCCTATGAGTGGATGAAGCCAGCACTTTTGTCTTCCACTAAATCATTGTTTTCCCATGTATATAGTAGTATCTGATCAGCACATCTTAATGAGTGTCAGATATGGCTTATATTATACAGACACAATTAAGTATAAGGTTGGGATGGGAGCAATCAAATAGCTAGATTCACTTCTTTGTAGCCAAACGAATTTGGCTTCTGTATCCAAACCCCCAAGAGTGGTTACCAAGGCGTGGATTATAATTAAAGGGGGAGGAAAGCTGTGGTATCCTGGTAAACTTTTACTCATTCAGAAAAAAATCGATAAGAGTTCTAAAGTAAATGAGAAAACATTTTTCCTTTAAAACATGTCTGTTGTTTTATTGCCTGCTCCAAATGAGACCCTGTTTCCCTCCTGATCCCCTGAGCTTCTGGAAATAATCCTTGGGGAGAAACTTTTGCCCCAAATGATGGGGTGGTAGGGACCTGGCAATAAAGAATTGAGTGGCTCTTTGCCCCTGAAGGCTCGTGTGTGCTTTCTCTTACTCAGTTGGGTGCATCAGGCCTCCCAGGTCTGAGTACATAGATCAGAGTACAAGTGACCAAGAATGTTTTCCAATAGGTCCTGCTCCAGCCAGCCATCCCTCCAGCCAGCAGGTGTTTGTGTAAGAAGAAAGCAAAAAACATATTAAACTTGCATCCTACGCTATGCCCCCGTGGGGCTCTGGGCATTAGATCCGGGATCTCATGTACTGCCCACAACAGCACCATTATCCTTCTCCTTTTATGCAGGAGGCAACACAATGTATAAAAAATTGAACAGCCAGTGACTGGCAGCATTTGTGAATTCAAAATAGTTCCCTCAGCCACTACCTTTTACTAGCATAAGCTTTCACACTCATTAATGCATTCAGCCCTCACAATAACCTGACTACAAATTATTATTATCATTCCCCCTTTTTTTCCCATTAGAGTCACTCAGCAGAGGAGCTTTCTCAAGGTTACACTTAGTAAGGGAAAGAGGCAGAATCTGAACCCTTCCAAAGCCTGTGTTCTTCCCACAATCCCACATCGCTCCCACCAGGCATTTGGCATGCATATTTTTAAAGAGAGTCAGTGCCCAACTTTGAATTTAATAAGGCAAATGTAAAAGAAAAACAAATTTCCAGGACCAAGAGATATAATTTTAACATTCTGTCCTTTTACTGAAGGGAAAGGGTGGACAAGGCGCTGAGTTGGCAAGGAGGGGAAAGGCTGTAGTTTTCAAAGGCGCTGTGTGAGAGGGCAGCATTCTTGTACACGAGGGGTGGAAGATGTGCCCAGCCTGCTAGGAGAAGGAATTTCACATCCACTGAAGTGGGCATGGCTGCATGCAATGGCAAGCTTTAGCACAGGTGTTAACTTTACACACAGAACAGGAAGCCAAGTAGCAAGAGGGAGCAGGTGTTGGCTCAGCTGCTCAGAGATGTCACTGGAACCCAGGCTCCTTCTCTTCCCACTTGAGGAGGATCAGGAGACATCACATCCATCATAAAGTCAGGACTCAAAGGGGAGAGGCAGAGGCTGCACCAGCCACACAGTCCCATGTCAGCACAAAAACAAGTGCTTTCCCAGGGCCTGCCAGCCCCAGCAGGTTCCCACGTGGACCCCTTTGGCCAACAGTGTGTGCCATGGCCACCCCAACAGAGATGCCAAGAAAGCACGCACTTATCCAGACACGTGGAGTGGAAAGTCAGAAGGAGCAAGCCTTCTTGGTGAGGAGGCTCATGAGGAGAGGAGCTGGCGCAGCCCGGCTGTACTTGGGAGAAGAACGAGGACATGGTGGGGTGGAGGGGGGTGTCACCCTGCCCATTGTCTTCGTCCTTACACCTGAGCAGCCTTAGAATGTCACGCCAGTAGCTACCCCTCCTCCCTCAGTCCCCTACTGGACATTCTTCATTCTTTCTGTCCCACCCACAAACCAGGTGCCCTTAGGGTGCTAAGTAATGTTGGCAATAACCAGACCACCTGGCTCACTGTTTGGTTCTGCTTTTTTTATCCTTAGCAATTAATAGGCATTAAATAAACTGTTGGTTAATTAAGTAATTATGAGATGAGGAAATTCTAGGTAGAGATAACAGCGAGAAAGACCTCTGTCTGCCATGGCCAGGAGTTCTCGCAGCTTCAATGAAGAAAGTACTCCGGAACCCACAGCAGGCTCCGTGACGCCATTCATATCAGAATCCACCCACCCGAATGTCGGCTCAGTGGCACAGCCTCACATAGGAGGAGTCTGAGCAGCTTGACAACTCTCGGGTCTGGGGAACTTTTGCTCTGAAAACAAGTCTAGGACCTTGTTGCTGCTCTGTGTGATGACAGCCCCATGGCTTGCCTCTCTGTCTTTGCAGAGCCAGCTCTCCCAGGCGCTGAACGGGCTGTCAGACAGGGCCAAAGAAGCCAAGGAGTTCCTGGTGCAGCTCCGTAACATGGTGCAGCAGATCCAGGTATGGGCACCCCCTGAGACGGAAAGCAGCCCCGGGGGCCACGTGGCACTGTTGGTGGGGGCGGGGCGGGGGAGAGGAGACCCTCTCTTCTCTTATATTATTATTTGCTGTGGGGAAGTTCCAGTTTCTTACTACTCTGTCTATTGCCTTGTGAGGGTACTTCAAAAAGTCCATGGAAACACAGAATTAAAAAGGTAAGTTTATTTTGGTACAGAAAGTTTTGAAATGTGTGCATAATGTTGAAGTCCAGGCATTTTCCATGAGCGTGCTAAAGACCTCTCATTCGTGCAGACGCACGTGGATCCGCTCCAAACACACCCCTCCTGGCAGTGGGGAGCTTTGACAACAGGCCAGACACACAGCCCGTTTTTCTGAGTTGTTCCTGCCTTCTGCACTGAGTTCCTAATTCTCTTCTACAGTGCTTAAAAAGAGGCCCATTTCTTTGGGAATTTGGGGTTTTTATCCTGCTTTAAGAACTCTGTGGGTTCCCAAATCACTTTGTAATGAGTACATATTATAGAACTGTAATTGTTCCTGTTTTTTTTTTCTTTCTTCCTCTCCCTCTTTCCTGCTTTCCTTTCTTCTTTTGTTCCATTCTTCTTGTCCCAAGATAATATTTGGATGTTTTCCAGCCATGGCCCCCTAGTGACTATAATTTCAGGTCACTTTATCTGGACACAGTGACCAGCAGGTCAGCCACATTTGTGAGCCCATAAATTCTCCACTGTGGTTGAGGGAGAAAAGCCATAAACAGCATGAGATGCTAAAATAATGACCCTGTGCCCAGCCTGCTCTTCTTGGGTTTTGAGATTTGCTTCACAGAAATAACCTTAGTCTGGCCTCCATAGATGGGCTTTCTGGGTTAATATGTAGCCCATGTCAGGGCACAAGTGGACCTTTAAATGTAGTCCAGGCATTAAAGCATTACTCACCAACTTTGCCTTTTTTGGGCATGCATGCCCATGTTAGAACTTCTAATTCCCTGACAACCTAACACTTTTATATACTTCCTTCTGTTTTGCAAAGCGGTGGAGTTTATCAATCAGGCCTTTCTTTGCTTTTACTGGCACAAAATGTGCAGCCCCAGGCTTCCCTCTGCCTTACCTCTTCATCAGAGCAAAGCTTTCTTTCTATTCAAAATCAGTGGAAACCTTCAAGGAGAAAATTCACATACACACACTCCCAACCCCCTAGTATTACCCTGCATGGGGCATAGAGAGCTCTTACAGGATGTTTTCCAAGGGCCTCCTCTGAGAACTCAAAAGCAGTTGCCATGAAAGCCAAAAGGTAGCATTTATAGACTCCATTGCTCAAACAATTGCTAATGCACTCCTTATTCAAAGACCTTGTTCTTGAATACAGTTTCGGGGTGGAAATACCTGCCAGTAGGTTCTTCTATAAAGAGACACAGTTCTTTATGGTTTGGGGAGTACATTGAAATATGATAGATTAATTTCTCCTTCCTTGCCAGCCCCCAAAAGTTTACAGTTTCCTTAGCTGGGTGCTCTTTTCCAAACACTACTGGTGTACAGATCAGTATTTAGCTTGCTTGCTTGCTTGCTTTTTTAAAAATTCACATTCTTTTTTCAGATTATGGTTTAATTATCAAAATTGCATGGATAAGTTGTTGAAAGGAGTCTTTATAAATGCTGGTAATTCAGTGAGAGAATTGGTTGAAAGAAATATCTATGGCATGTACAGATTTAAAATTTTTTCAGATTTTTAGAAATAAAAATTTCATGCCCAGCATTTAATTTAGACATTCTGGGGATGCTAGCGCTGAGTTAGTATAGGCACCTTTCCTCCCGCAAGCTGTGGGTCCGTGAATGGTTTTCAGAGCATGCTCACCGTACTGGCACAAACTCTGGTTGTTCGGAACTGCCATGCCCCTTCCTTCCCGGTGCTTGCTGACTGCCACGTGCCACTAGGTGTGGCGGAGCCTGTCTAGCGCCACAAACCAAGGCTTCATTGAGCTTAACATCTTCCAGACCGTGTAGATGGCTTCCTTTTGATTAAAAAAAAAAGACTTAGATGATAAATATTTGTCATTTTCCATCTAAATTTCAAACAAAAACTCTGCCACTCTAGAGCGAAGCTCGCCCAGTTGTGTTTTATGAACACACAGAGTTCTTGTTCATTCCCCTCAGCAGGGGTCTCTGTGCCATGCATGGACAGGGAGGCTCCTGCTCCCCTGGTAGCCGGGGGGCCCCGTGCCCTGCAGCTGAGAAATGCCCTCTCTCACGCAGGAGAACAGTGTGGAGTTCGAGGCCTGCCTGGTGGCCCAGTGTGACGCCCTCATCGATGCCCTCAACAGAAGGAAGGCGCAGCTGCTGGCCCGCGTCAACAAGGAGCACGAACACAAGCTGAAGGTGAGCACTGGGCCCGCCCTGCAGACAGCAGGGACCGAGGAGCCAGCGGTCACGACGGAAGAAAGGGCTGGATGCCCGCAGCCTTGGGTGGCCGGTGGCCTGGCCAGATGGGAGAAGGCACAGCCCTCCGTTCACTACTTCATGTCTACATGTTTACCTAGCCAATGTCAGTTGAGTAAAACTGCTCTGGGTGCAGGAAAAATAAACAAATCAAAATCGCTGCCTTTGTGGGGCTTCTATTCTGTCAGGAGAGAGACACAGTAAGCACGAGAATTAAGCCAGACGTGCAGTGTTAGCAAACGTTGCTAAATAAGCAAAAGAAGACAGGAAAGGGGGATGATGAGCCTTGAGGTGGGGGTTGAAATTTTAGATGGGGTGGCCACAAAGAGTCAGAAATGTGTTTGTGAGTAAGGAAATGGAATCTTTAGAATCTAAACAAACAAGCTTTGTCTTAGCTTCTGAAGGGAACCTTAATATTGGACAGCTGGATAGACTTTTGTCACCACACAGTGGAATTGACTGAATACCAGTCTGGGGCCCGATTGGCAGGACTGGTTTCCCTGGAGACACGTGATGTCCCATTTGTTACCCTGTGAGAGCAGGGCAAGAAGATGTGAGAAGATGTGGGTAGGCAAATGGGAAGAGCCAGGCAGAAGGGAGTCCAGCAGTGGGCAGTCAGCTGAGGCCTGCCCGCACAAGCCTCAGGGTGACTCACAGTGGGCGGACGGTGGGGAGAGGGGAGTGTGCAGTGTTGGCCTGGGGCTGTGTGTTGAGGTCAGGCAGTCAGCATCCAGCTGCTTCAGTAGTAGGCGACAGTGAGTAGGGACAGCCTCCAGAGAGCTGATGACAAGTGACAGCACAGTGTCAGGTTAGCAGTAGGCGCTAGTCCCTAGAGATCAAGAGAAGGCCCCATGTCTAAAGAGTGAGGTTCCTGTAGGTGAACCAAGGAGGAGTTTCAAGAATGAAGAAACAAAGGAACACAGCTTACAAATGTCAGGGGGTAAAGCTTGGTGGCTGACATCCTTTGAGTTGGCTTAGTACCTACATAGTGCCTACAGGCAAGACCTGTGGTAGGCAAACTGGCAATGCCGAGCTCCGAGCAGCAGAGCACCCCTTCGTCGTAGGCCCCTGAGTCTCACTTAGCTCTGCTGTGAAGACAGCATCCAGGCAGCGTGAGAGAAGCGTTTGCCCAGAGAAGCTTCAGAGCTCACTCCCAAGATAAACAGAACCCCAGCTGTAGCTTCCCCCTCTGCGTATCCCTCCTCTGCTCCCCACCTGCAGCTCTTCAAAACACATTCAGACCCACACATCTGCTCCCTCCTGTCCCAGCGCCAGGGCAAGCGTGTGGTAGGGACATAAACCTTTCTTCCCCGCCTTTGTGAATTACCATGGAGAAGAGGGGACGGTGGAAATGAGGCAGGCAGAAGGGGACCGGGCGGGCCTGAACCTCCAGCCGGGGTCGGGGCTGTGTCCCAGTGTGTTCCTGACAGCAACAGCACGATTTTATCAAGGAGAGGTGCAGCAGATTGTTTAATACAGACAACTGCGTGTCTTGAAGCTGGACTCTAACCATGAGGAAGGAAAGAAAAGCACCCCAGGGCTGCAATGTTCAAGGGACCGTAACCTGTTGGTCTGGCAGGAAACAAAGGCTGGCAGTGCTAACGGCTCCTTCCAGGGTGGCTGTTGATGTTTCCCGATGGAGGGCCTGACCAACAGACCCTCCCAGCTGGATCTTAGAATGAACTCGAGCCCAGCCTTATGGAACCTTCGAGCTGGAGCTAAAGCTAATAATAAGGCCTGGGACTCTCCGAGGGTGGCTCCCTCTGTAGCTTGTGTCATGCATAGTCCATAAAGTGCCCAGTGATGGGGACTTTTACCTACGTGGCTTTCTTTTAGTTCATCGTTTTCCAGGCCCCTGTCTCCTAAAGCTGTGATCAGGTTATTTGTTTTTGAATTCCCCAAAGAGATACTGAGCTATGATTCATGGCAGCATATGTGGTAACTCCTGAAATGTGGGGGAAGACGTGGGGGCAGTCTTACGGATACTTTTTTACCCAAAGAGTTCTGAAAGTTTTGCCGTGTGGATATCCATCTTACAGATTTACTTTGCAACCATCTGGAAAAGGGTTCTGTTCCATAAGCGTTTTCATCCAAGTTAAGTTAGGTCTGGGTGAAAAAAATTTTTTTCTAGAATCACTGTTTCTTATCTGGATTAAAATCAGAAATATGGTTCTCTAGTCACCCAATCTGCAATACTGAATGAGCATCCTTGGTGACCCAGTCCTGGCTTTCATAATGACAGGGCCGGCACTGTGGCATAGCAGGTAAAGCCGCCGCTTGCACTGCTGGCATTCCATGTGAGCTCCACTTTGAGTCCAGGCTGCTCTGCTTTCGACCCAGCTCCCTGCTAATGTGCCCAAGAGGGTGGCCTCTGCATCTATGGCTCCCGGCTCCCGGCTCCCGGCTCCTGGCTTCTGGCTCCTGGCTCCTGGCTCCTGGCTTCGGCCTGGGCCAGCCCTCTTTGTTGCAACCATTTGGGGAGTGAACTAGCAGAACCAATGGATGGAAGATCTCTTTCTCTCTCTTTCTCTTCCTCTCTCTCTGTGATTCTGCCTTTCAAATAAATAAATAAATCTTTTTCTAAAATAATGGCAATAGCTACACTTTGAGAACACTTTCTATGAAGGAATGTCATACAGATCGTGTTGTGGGGATCTTCTCTGTTACTGCCTACAACAGTTCTATGGTGTCATTATCACTATTATTTCTGTACTGGAAGTGAGGAAGCTACAGCACCATGGCACTCAGAACTGGTCCAAGGAACCAAAATTTGAGCCATGATAGCCTAGCTTTGGAGCCCAGAGTCCAAGGCACAGCACACTATTGCCTTTGACTGGTAGAAGTACCCTCGGAGAGAAGGCATTTCCATCCGTCAGCCATAACTCACACACACCTGTTATCATTGCCCACAAATGATGCCCACAGAGGTAGAAGGCAGGCAAGCTTCTAGGAAAGAGGTAACCAATGCCACCTCTCACAGGTTGTAAGGAGGACAATATATTACTTACAGCTAAAGAGTCACAGCACCTCATAGAAGAACTAGGCCCAAAGTAGCCCAAACTATGAGAGGTGTGTGTTGATGGCCATGGACACTCAATAGTTGAAAATTTTAAATTTTAGTTTTTTTATTTGTTTGTTTTAATTTGAGAGACAGGAGGAGAAAGAACATCCTCAGTTCCCTCCACTGGTTCACTCCCCAAATGTCCACTGTGGCCAGGCCTGGCCCAGGCTGAAGCCAGGAGCCGGGAGTTTAATCCTGAGTCTTCCTTATAGGCAGTAGAGCCCAGCTGCTTGAGCCATCAACTGCCACCTTCTACGGTGTGCATTATCAGGAAGCTGGCGTCAGGAGCAGAGCCGAGACTCCAAACCCAGGCTTTCCAATATGAGCTGCAGGCGTCCCAACCAGTGTCTTAACCACTAGGCCCACCCCCCCTCTCCCCCTTAAACTGCTGACTTTCTTTTCTGCAGGACTGGGCAAAGCTGTCAGGGAAGAAGGCAGGGATGAACACAGAGTGCACCATGAGCTTGCTGCTTCCATTAGCCCCAAGGACTGACAGGTGTCCTGCTGCACACTCTAACATGACGCCAAGGTTAGCACCAGAGACCTGCACTTTAGCTCCCTTCAGAACCCCAGATTTTGACTGTTAGAGCAATCATCAAAATACTGTTTGACTCATACATAACTGTGTAAAGGTAAACTGTAGATGTCTCTGGGAAAGAAGCTGGACAGCTAGGGATCCGCCCCCCCCTCCCCAGCCCTGCTAAACAGTAGACCGTCTATTCAGGTACCCACCCATAAAATTTTAACTTTTTTTCAAGAGAGAATCTCTTTTTAAAAAATGCTTCCCCAGCACCTTTCAACAGACATGAGCAGTGTGTGATGCACCACATGGCGACTGGTGGCAGCTCCAGGTTTTCTGTGTGGGAGATATGTGAGGACAGCCAGCTGGGTAGAAGAGGGGATCCAAGGCTGGGCAAGCACCATGTACCCAAGCGGAGAGTGGCGTTAGAGCATTGCTGTGGTTGGGATGTAGTCTGAGTGTCCCCAAGGCTTCGTGTTGAAATTCTGTTCCCATAGTGAGGAACCAAAAGGGTAGAACCTGAACCTGACTACAGTGCTCCAAGGTGGGGCTTTTAGGGTTAGGGTTGGATAAGGTCGTTCTGGCACCAGGACTGACTCCTGATGACTTTATAAACAGAGCGAGGGAGACTTGTGCCCTTCCTGTCTCTTACCCTCCACAGCCTCGAAGCTCTGCCAGCAGCATGGCCATCACCAGATGAGGCCCCTAGAACTTGTTCCTCCAGAACCAGAAGCCAAAATAAGCCTCTTTGTTTTTTGTTTTTTGTTTTTTTTTTTTCATTAACAAAGGAGCCTGCCTCTGATATTTGGTTACAGTAATGAAACCCAGACCAAGACAGGTGCTCCAGGACCAGTACAAATGTCCCAGTCCCTGCTATCCTCCTGCTTAGTGTGGCCTCTGCAGGCTGCGACTGTGACAGCCAGCTGTGGGCTGTGCTGGGGGTGGTGGTGGTGGGGAAGTGGGCAGCATTAATATATCGCTGGGACTCCCCGTCTCACGACTGTGTCCTCTTCCCCTCTATCCTGGGTGGGCTGCCCCAGCCAGATACACGGATGTACTTGGGGACTGCAGAGCAAGGCAGCTGCCTGCCCTCATTCCACCCGGCCCCAGCTGGGGTTCTCCACCCCACGCCTCAAAGAGCTGCAGAAACCAGAGCCAGGTGGCCGGTCGTCCCCCACGGCAGCAAAGCTGTTCTGTCTTCTGTCTCCAGCGATTTGTCGCTCTGCTGTCCTCGGCTGATTGTATCTGTGTCACCACGTCTAAAACCTGCCACTGCCACTAAGGCGGCTGATCCCAGCCTCACCAACCCCTCCATCTCTGTCCTCTCTCTGCCTTTTCCCTTTCCTGTCACTTTTGTCG